TATGGCCACTTAAAATCCCCCATTGAACTGCGACTTCCCAGCTAGCCATGTTTGATTACCGCCGGAGGGTGTGTGTGTGTATATATATATATACTGAGATATATACATATGTACACATATCACATACATCAGTATATATCTAACTATGGTTACTAAACAGTTACATACATAACGGCCGCCCCAATACTAAGTGGTTACAATGGTTAAACTGCAATAGTTACCCTCTGGCAATTTAACATAGCCTGCTAAATGTTTGATCGCTTTCCAGCTGGCAATCTGGCACAGAAACTACTAGAGGCTAGAGTTGGGTCCAAGTTACATCTAGGTAGTAGGTATCTAACTTAGAAACCACAGTTCAACTACCATAGTTAACTTAGTAATCATAGTAACCATGGTAATGATAGTAACCATAGTTAATTTAGTATAGTTCCTTTAACTATGATTAGTAACCATAGTTGAACAACTGCTCTTCTCATCTGCCTTCCCCACCTGCCGGTTCCCTTGGCGGTACCACCGAGGGGGCAGAGGTGCCTTCCCTGTGGATTTCGTGTGGAGATCAGCAAAAAATGGTGGATTTTATGGCAGTTGACCAGAAAGAATGGATGGACACCATTACTATAATGGTTAAGATTATGATGGATAACTAGCGATAACAAATAATAATTACCACAATAATAGCAGACATCTAACTAAGGGTAATTTATGATGGATAGTAATGGACAGTGATCCCTATACATGATGGATCGAACATGATATGGAACATGTACTCATTAGACTGGTTGGTTGAGAAATAGGGATTCCTAGTTGGTGGATAGTGATCATCCAATCTTGGATATCCCCAAACCAATCAACCAACAGGGGCATTGAACACTGCTCAAATGGGAAGGGAGACTTGAGGCAACAACATGCAGATTTCATGAACAAAACGCGGGATTTGGACAAAAAGAACTGGGACCCAGCAAAAATGAAGAGTTGAGTTGACAAACATGGAGATATCACTGGGATCTCCACCAAACATGTCCAAAAATGGAATGGTGATTACTGCAATGACCAACATGCTGGACCCATAACAATATACGCAAAATGGGATTATTTTTGCTGCCAATGATCTGCTCAAACCAGCGCAAAATGGGATCGTGGGATCTTGGGACCCTAGATTTTTAAAGGTGCTTCACTTTGTGCGGTGTTCCAACAGGTTCTATCCCATCCAACTCCCAAGGTCAACACATGAAAAATGCACCTTGGAACAGGTCTACTGTAATATCACCTTGCCTCCATCATCTACAATTGTCTACCTTCGTAATCTGAAATCAGTGAAATCAGAATGGAAAAATCCTGTTCTTGTGGTAAATCCTCAGATCGTCAGGTGAATTTGCTTCGAAAAATCTAGGTTCAATGGCTTTTTCAATGGTTTGGTTTGGGGATTTTTTTGGCTTCAACGCCCCATATTCCATGGGAAAGACCGTTTCCTGCAGATTTTCCCTGAAATCCATTGATGGCAGCTGGCCTCGGGGGCACCACGTTGATGTCCCGGACCTGAGGGCCAGTGGAACCGAAAAGGCACACATTGCGATACCAATGGCTGAATCCGAAAAGAACCCAAAAAAGGTCCAGGGTTATAAACTCTATGTGTATATATGTATATATATATATATACATATACATATAAGTGTGTGTGTGTGTACTCTATATATATATGTATATATATATACACAGACACACCCATATATTATATGAACAGCTAAAACCCAGGGCATATGCGGAATCTCTACCAGCTCCCCCAAGAGCCGCACAGCATTGGGTGTGGCCTGGCACTGGACCGGGGGCATTGGATGTTGTCTGCTGCCATTTTGGGTGGGTAATATGTATAGATGCATAAATGTATAACATATATGGATGTGTATAGATACACATATATGTACATATACATATAAAGGTATATACTATTGCATATATATATATTATATTATAAATGTATATATTTTATATATTATATAATATATATATATTATATTATATATATATGATCTCTCCTGGGAAACTTCTTTGGGGGCCAAGTCTGGTCAAAGTTCCAGGTCCAGGGCCTCCAGATGCTTCCACTTCGGAAAAGGCCTGAACCAAGGCATCCACTGATGTTGTGGTTGACCTATTTCAAAAGGATTTCTTTCGATATATATATATATACAGTTATTTTGTATATAGTTATATTTACAAAAGGATACAATGTTTTGGTTACGAAATAATTATATGTAGTGATATCAAAAACCATTGTTACTATAGGTATGGGGTTGATTGTAGTTATTTAACTAATTACCCTCCAGTAAGTCAACAGCTCGACCCTGGCAGGGGTTTGAAGATTAGTTTCCACGCAAAACTAGTGATTTTCAGGGTCTATGTCAATTTTCCCGAAGGTAATAGTAGTAATAGTCATTATAACGATAAATAATACTGTAATAGTCACTAATAATGGTAGTACGTTTGAAACACTTGTAGAATGTGTTTTAAACAGCTGCAACATGAGGCCCCTGGCGGCCCTTGCATTGGGTTTTAAATGCATTGGGTTCTTCTGGTTCAAGCAGCTTCAAAATAGAGAACTTTCCGCAATGTGGGAACCCTCAGAAGAATCTATAGTCTATAATCATCATGTGTATATGAATACGCACACCGTACATATCACCATCTACTTGCTTTCAAATGAATTAAGCCCACAACTAGAGCCACAAATCAGCGTTTTGCATATCACTGGACAATGTGTATATATATATACAGATATATATATATATACATATATATATATATATTATACAGATATATATATATATACATATATATATATATACAGATATATATATATATACACATAGATATATACAGATATCTATATATATATACATAGATATATATATATATATACATAGATATATATATATATATACATAAATACATAGGTGTATATATATATACAGATAAGATACATATGTATATATATATACAGATAAGATATATATATAATTTTAGATATATATATATATAATATATATATATACACAGTATATACACATATATTTGGCTTTGCTTTCCAGTATCTGGATCAAACAAGATTGACATTTGAAACCCTGTTCTGTGGGTACGGTGCCAGAATTAACCCAAAAGAAATGGGTGAGTCCATTGGTACCCCCGATACCCCATTCTTGACCCTCAAAAACCATCATTTTCGAGATGTCTGTCAGCTACAAACGGTGGATATGCCATTATATATTTAGTCATGTCTTACCAGAGAAATCCCGTTCACAAGTGGGTTTTAACCATGGTGATTATATTTTCGATCTGCAAAAAACCGAGGCCAAACGCAAGGTTCACTGTCTCACCTTGCAGGGTTCCTTCAGTTTCCTAGAACGGTTGCCCCCAAGCATGGTGACCATATCTATGTGGCCAGCTATTCACTATATAGGATAACACCACATAACACCCCCTCCACAAGCCCACAGAAATTCCTGACCCCTTCCGCAGATCCAGCACGCGTTGACGCTTGGTTGCAGAAGGCGCCTCTTTTCATGGGAAGAACTAGAATTGCTTGGGGTGGTGTCAAAAACATAAAGACTTTAGGACGGGGGACAGCAGATTTGGGTCATGGTTGCCTTTGAAAATGCAACTGTCTTGCGATTCTATCAGCCAAATTTTCATCTGAAGCATGACCAAATATTAACTCGCAGGTTGGCGGCCACGAGCGACCTGAATAAGATTGAAATAGGGGAACTCCAAGTAGAGATGTGGAAACTGGAAACAGAGCATGGTCATGGTACACCGTGGGATTTGGGGATTCCATAAGGGGTGCTCTTAAAGTGGGAGGCCTCAAAACCGTTGGTTTCCCCTCTAATAGTGACCAATTTTGGATGATTTCGGTGACCTCCCCATTTTGAGAAAACCCCACATATCGGTTTGTCTGAATATAGGGTACCAAAAAAAAAGAACCAACCATCATTGTTCCTATGAAAATGACCATATGGGAATAAACATATGGAAACCAGCAGATTTTCGGGTACCATCCGGTACCAGGTTTTTGACTCACGGCCATCTGCTCAGATAAACCCTGGTTGAAAACCGCCTCTCGCGGTTCCGGTGGCGTTGAGAGCCACTTGGGCGGCGGTGTGGGCGGTTCCGCTGGCGTTGAGAGCCATTTGGGCGGCGGTGTGGGAGGCAAGGGCGGTTTACCTGCGGGCGAACCGGGAACCAAGGGATATCAGGGTATTCAGCAGCAACAAACTACGAGCTTCGAATACTTCTGGGTCAAAATTTAAGATCCAGGGTCCACAGATCTGGGTCAAAATATAGTATTATATAACTGTATTATACTGTATTAACCATCTAAGTATTGGGGTGCCCAATTTTGACTCATACCCACTTGGTGAATAGCAACCCATCCAGCCGCTGGTTCCAGCAAAAAATGTGATGATTTTGTATCGCCAGGAGAACCAACAACTCCTCTAGAGAGTCACTATCAACTAACAGTGGAGATAGATGTTGCTTAATCAGACAACATGATCAAACATCGTGAACCAACATCACTTGGTACGTGAATCATCACACTAAATGGACCATCTCACCTAGCTCTGCATTCAACAACTTGTTTGCAAAAAGACAATAGCCGCTGAATCGTTGGCCACAGCGCCCCCTGAACCCGCTGGTAACACGCACCTGGTAGAGGCGGTCGTTTGGCCGACCCTGAGCGAACGAAAATTTGATTGTGCCAATGTAAAAACATGGAAACGAATTCGATAATTGGGTTTTAACCAACACAAATGGGGATAGTTGCCATTTGACCAATACAACATGTCGAAAGTTGGTGCTGTGCCGTTTTTTGACATGTTATAAAAGTATCCAATTTGGACACATTACTATGGCGTTGTCTTGAATAGGCTACTCCCATCCCATGGGTGAAATCCCATGGATTGCCGGTGACATGCCCCATGCCCCGTTGCTGGTGCTATCCACAAGCGCCATTTCAGATGTTTACTCTCCATCTCCTGAGCCTTTCAGGCTGTGCTGTGCCAGTGAGTTCTGTGAAGATTGCAAAGAGCCGAGGAGCCCTGAAGCCCAGCTGAGGACCTGTACATTAAAATCCCTGGAACTGGAACAAGGCTTTCACCACGGGAACCAAAAGTTCTTCTCGACTGTCTGGTCCAGCTCCAACACCAGAGACCCGAACCAGTTGAATTCGCAACATGGCCTGTTCTTTGTGCATTTCACATTGGTAGCATCCTTCACTCCGTGCACATTCGCGGGGCCCTCCCCCAACCACGAGACCGTCAATCAAGACGACCTCTGCTGTACCGCTGAGCTCTTCACATGGCGGACCCAATTTGAGGCGATGGGCCACAAAGTCAGGGCCTCGCAGCAGGTGGGTCATGCTCCAAGTCTCTTTGGGGTCCAAGGCCTGCTTCAGCCGCATGCGGATGATGGTCCGATGCCATGTTTTGCTCACAGCGCGGTGCCGCCAGGTGGGCACAAATTCTGCAAAGCGCAAACTCAGCTCTGATGGCATGGCGACAGGTACAATCTGCGTCTCTCTGCTGGGAACCCATCCAGTCCATCCCATCAGCTCTGCCAAGCGCTGCATGGCAAACAGGGGCCCGCAGGCTCGGCACCAAGGCGCAGAAGCTGCCAGCTGCAATTTAAGAAATGGCTTGAGCCATTTCAGATGTTTACTGGGTACATGATTATGTTACTCAACTATGAGAAATTCCATCTCTGGCGATTGGTGACCTATTGCTACCAATATTATATAAAATTGTTACCCACATATTAATCGTATACCTATATGATTTAGTATATTTCAATGTAAATGTAAGAACTCCGAAAATTGATGATTCTGATGGTCGTTCCCCTCAGCCAAGCTGCGCTTCTTGTTTTGCTCAACTTGTTTCTTGATGAGCTTCACCAGCTCTTCCTGCGGAAGAAGGGACTCGAGATCTGCTCATCAAAATATCCTCTGGTTATGACTAACATAGCCATGGTATAGATGGCCCATAGAAATAGATGGTTTACCTAGCTATAAAATGGGTGGATCTTTGAATGGCTAACTGTTAAATAACCAGATGGTATTCAAAATGACTCCAAGTTCATGCATGTATTACTCAAAAATATGGGGTTTGTTACATGAATTGTTTTACCATTCGTTTAATGGCTGCTGTGAGGATGAGTTAGTACTGAACTCTCCAGGGCAAAAATTGAGAGCCTGAGTTGGATTTGTTTCTGGCTCAGTAGACGCTACTAATTACCGTGCGGCGCATCCAAAAATCATATGTGCCAAGGTCAAGACGCCAAACATCCCAAAACATGCAAAACATTGCAAAACCCATTTGGGTCACTCCAAACATACTACGTAGGTAATAGAATTTAATAGAAAGCCCTTCTACTGAAGGCCAAAATCCATCCCCTCCACCAGGTTTGAAGTCATCTGCAAATCAGTTCATCAGCAGGGAAAATCAACAGCTCCGCTTTGGTTCACCTTTGGGGGGGTCAAAACCTATCAACAACTCCTGCAGTCATAGTTGGTAAATTCAGAATTTGGAACATGGGCTTTCAAAAAGTACGGCAGAATACGGCAGACCAAAGTCAAATGGTTTGTGGTCGTATTCCTTCTTGGAAATGCTTTTTGTTCCACGTTTTTAGACACACCCCTGCGGAGCTTTCCTACTTTGGGGACCTCGAAAACCATCCAAGTTCCCACCTTTTGTACTCGCTTCCGGGGCAATGTAGCGCCGGCCTGCGCGTCTGCTGAGGGGAGAACATCAGGGATTTATCGATGTTCATCCCCAAAACGGATATTTCATAGATGTTGATCCATTTCCAATATGGAAAGATACAACAATGATCCGTACAATATAAAATGTCATTGGCCAAATAGCTGCATCTTAGATGCCACAGAAACGTGGGGCGATTATACATTGTTTTTACCCAGCAAATGGGACAGCAAGTCAGCAAGTCTTAATATGTAACCGCCACAATACACCGGCTGAGCACGGTGTTCCCCAAGGTAGGTTAAAAAACCTTTTTACCAACGTTGAACCAGAGACAAAATTCCTTTCAGATGAGAAACGAGGCCCGAAATCACAGCATCAAACAGCCCCAGAACTTACATCACTGTCTGAAGCACGGGAGCCCAGGGCAGAGAGAGAGAGAGAGAGAGCAACGACAACGACGACGACAACCGGTCAGTGCCTTCTTCAAACGTTGCTGTAAAAGATGCTCCGGCAGCCTGCGACGTGACGAAGGAACATTCCACCCAGAAAACAGGGAGTCACTGGGTTAATTCAACTGCATGTGACTAGCATCTCCCAAAGATATCAATCCAGCATTGAAATTGAGGATGGATGACATTTTTAAAAAAACGCGCTCTTGAGCGGGCGGAGGTGCACCCCCCTTTGCTCCGTGTATGGTCTACGTCGTTTTACGTAACGGCTTCATGTTGCAGGTGGAGACCCAAAATCACCCAAGGGATGAGCTATGAGTTTACCCAACTTGGTATGTATATAATACATGGATTCACAAATATATGTGTAGGTATATATGTATATATGTATATACATATATATATATATATTATTATTATTATTATCATTATTATTATTATTGTTATCATTATTATTATTATTATCATTATTATTATTATTACTATATTTTTTGTGTGCAGCAAGTCCTAGATTTCCGCCATCCGACTTGTTGCAGGTGGCTCTTTTGTTTGACCTATCATTACTTCGGTGCCGCAGTGACCCAAACGAAAACACTATCTCTATGTATGTGTATATATAATATGTGTGCCTGTATGGTATTTTCGTGTATACCATATATTGGGTTACATATTTATGATTACATATGATTATACATGTTTATACTATATATGATTACATATGATGTACTACATATATAAAACCCAATTACATATGATGTCATGACCATGACCATAGAGAGGTTTCTGACTCCACATCCCATCTATACCCTGTTGCCTGAGCAAGCTGTCCTGATCCTGCGAACATCGCTGGTCAGAAATCCCCTGTAAATGGGCATCTATTTATGGGAAAACCATCTACTTAAATGATGGTTTTTCCATGTCAATGTTGTTAGTTTCCTGGTTGGAAAATCCTCGGGTTGGACGTTTTACGGTCGTTGCCCCTATGTTACCTATGTTTGCTGGTGAGAAACCATGGTGTGCTGTTGGGGTTTTCTCTGCAATCCAATGAATAAAATGATGAGCGAGTACCAGTTGCTAGCTATTTACAGGTATGATCCCAGAAGCGGTGAGCATCTGAACCAACAACTTTGGAACAACCATAATACTTTCTGTTGAATTAACAGGGCCATTTATACTGGATGATGGACATGGTAACCTGCTAGCTTCTTGGGAATCCAAACACAATGGAGCTGATGGCTTTTTGAGCTGCATCCCAAATCACCTCCCCAGAATCCAAGCACAAAGCACACCAGAAGCCCTGGCTCCTCCTCCTCAACATCTTCCATTTCTTGATCAGCCTCTACCACAACTTCCTGCCACGATTGCACTGATTGGGTGTCCTTCATCTTATCTCCACCCATTCCCAAGCTAAACAAGGCCAGAACACAGCCCCCAAATCTTGAACCAACTTCCAAAATCTTTGCTACTCCCTCTCATGTTTGCTCATTTTTGGGTGGATTCCCCATTTTTTGATGCCAAAATCAACACCAAACAGGTGTGTCTGAAAATGGAGTATACAAAAAAGTTTCTTCATCTGAAAAATGAGGTTCTAAAGTTCCCTCTAATTGTTTCGACTAAGCTAAAACGCTGGTTTTTCACCCTCTGGCAATCAAGGCTTGCTGGAAAATCCCCCATTTAGTTCGATGAATTTTCCCGCTATACATCTCCATTTAGCTCCTGGATGTTCCTATAGTTTTCCATGATGTTCAAGGGCTATAAAGCTCCAGTTCGTAGATATTCCCACCTCCATTGACCTTCCCATGATGTTCCCAGCTGTATTATAAAGCTTCATGACTAGATTCGTTCATTTCACTTTCTCAACTCAAATCCTATATGGTTTCTCTATGTTCGATTTAGATTCTTTTGCATACGTTTTCTCCCATATTTGTCCCAGTCGTTTCCCCATGTGATTTCCACGCCTCTGCCTCCAGATCCTGCTGCAACGCAGCCATCTGTTCCTCCAACTTCTTGGCCGCCGCCAAATCGGCGTCACCGTCGCCGGCCTCGCCGGCCTCGCCGGCCTCGCCGGTCTCGCCGGTCTCGCCCTCGTCGAGCACCTCGGCTTCCACCTCGACCTCAACGGCCTCGGCGTCACCGTCACCTGAAGCGTCGGGGATGTGTCCACCAGCTTTGAAACCGGGGATATTTTAGATGGGTTTTAAAATATAGAAAAATATAGAATATTCTACGATTATAAGATTCCTATGATTTGTATGAATTTGTCCCTTCAAATCTAGGACTGCCAGGCCTGTTGGTGAACATGGATGGAAGAAGTACAAAGATTCCGCCTTTGCCTTTTTTTTTGCTGGAACCAATACACACAGGGAGAACCTGCACATCGTTGGCAAGTTGTGATGGTCTTATTGGGTGCCACTCTTCCTCAACAAATCCGGGGTATGCCACTGGACATAACTTGCAACGCATATAGGCTTGGCATGTCCATTGATTTCATGCACTATTTCGGTGGCAAACCAACTGACAATTCAACCACGGCTCAGATCACCATGACGGGTACTGCGATACCACGTAGCCAGAATTTTTCTGGAGGCCATGGCCGGCCTGTGACCCTGCAATCTCTTCGAAATTTGTTTCATGCTGAGCCAGGCCAAATTGCTGAAGGCTGGGGCCCAGGCTACTTTCGAGAGATGTACAACATCAAACACCCACAGATCATTGTGGGCCGTGGGAGTGTCCGGAACCTAAAGTTTCGCTTCATTCGGACATCACCCAAAGACCACCATTTTGGTACGGCCTAACCCCCCCACTTCGGTGGGCACCTCCGTCGTCCTTGGTCTCCTGGAAGGGGGTTTGGCTTCGTTGAAAATCTTTGGTGAAGAACAAATGTCCATGGGATAGTCAATTGTAATTCCCAATATATGGGATATCTGCGGCCCTGTATACATATAATATATATATATATATATTTATTTGATGTGATACTCCCCAATATATATATATATATATATGTGTATTGTATACAGTAAAGAATAGTATAAGGCCCATGATCGATGGACACGACATGTCATGCCCTGCTGGCCTGAACCTCTTCTACGCCATACTTGGGCTCTTCCTCCCCCCAGGCATCCTCCTGACGATCTGAAATTTAGGGAAGTTGGCAGTGGAATTGTGGCTGGGCTTTAAATATAACTGCTTCTCTTGCTATGAGTGTGTATATGTGTATGAATAGATAGATAGGAATAGATAGGAATGGATAGGAGTAGATAGGAGTAGATAGGAATGGATAGGAATGGATAGGAATGGATTGGAATAGATTGGATTAGATTGGATAGGATAGAATTAGATTGGATAGGATTAGATTGGATAGGATAGGATAGGATAGATAGGATGGATAGATAACAAGATAATAAGGAAATATGTCAATAATATAATAAGATAATAAGATAGATAGGATAGAAAAGATAGAGAAGATAGAGAAGATAGAGAAGAT